AAGACAATAAAATGAACACTGTTAAAACCATAAAAAGCTATTATTTACATACACCAGCAGGTTTGCATAAAGCTGTGGAGAGATGAGACGGACAATGACATGCCAGTGATGAGAAATTCGTTTGTTTCAGGCCGCCTGCTGAGTGTCCAGATCTTCCTGCACTGCTCCTGAGTTATTTAGAAAAAGGGTGGGGGGGCGGATGGCTCCAGTCTCCGACGTGGAGGTGGAGGTGGAGGTGTCTGAGAAGAAAGGAGTCTTGTGTCTGGATGACTGCTACTGTCCTGTGTGTCTGGAGATCTTTAAAGAGCCTGTGACCCTGCCCTGCACACACACCTTCTGCAAGGTAACACACACATGCACAAATTACAAAATAACTATAAATAAGTAAAAAAAAAAATCATTGCATGATGCCATGTTACTGCTGCACTGAGCAGACATCATTTGTCATTAAACAGGAGTGTCACTGAAGTGTTTGTATGTTTACAGAATCCACACTGACCTTTTTAACATCACAGCAGCATACAAACTTCACTCAGTCATCTCCTTTCCGTGATATTTGACTTAGTCTGATCTGTGAATTTAAGTTTAAATGTACTGAGTTTCTGGCACTTGGACTGGTTGTGAGGGGGTCAGGGTTAGTTATTAACTGTGCCCCCTTTGGCTGAAACTCCACACTTTATCCTTAAATACGTGCAGGTGATCAAGATGTGATGAGCATGTTTAAAGCAGCTGAGCCCCGTGTGCAGCACAGCAGTCCTTATTTATGGTCAAAATCACACTCAGTGATACTGCACAGTAGTGCTGGGCGATAGGACGATAGATATCGTGGGCACGATAGAAAATGTCTATCGTGCCATTTTTATTTTTATCGTTTCGGGCGATAGGCTGTATTTAATCCATAGGGCTTGTGCCATCAGATGATTCATAGTAACAACAACAATAATTGCACATTCAGTAAGTGTATTTGGTGTCGAACGGGAAAGAAAACAATATTTTCTTACAAAGAAAAGTATGCGTTGACATGTAGGCTTGCATTTCTCTTTCGATTTTGCGACATGACGCCGCTTTACGTGCCCTCTTCGTGTCCAGCGTCTCCCGCCGTTGCGGGTTACCTGGGTTACACACGTGAGGGGATCATTGTAAGCAGTGCTTAATTTGTGCCGGAGCAAGTCGGAGCGCGATCCGGGACCTCTTTTGATCGGATCAGGGACCTATTTCAGCCGCTCCGGCACCTGTTTCATCTGCTCCGGGACCTTCCCTGTAGAGGATGACATTTTTCGGGAATTCCCGTGGGTCACGTGATTCCCTCGGGAATCCCACGGGATGGAAGTCATTTTTTAATTAATCCCTTGATCGGGACGGGACGGGGAAAAAAGCAACGGGAGTGGGCAGGAGCGGGAACAACATTAATAGATGATCATTTTCAGCCGTGTTTAACAACCAGATGAACAGGTGCGTCCATTTTTGTAGTCATCTCTCAGTGAGAGCCAACACTCTTGACCGCGCTAGCAACACAAAAGAACTACAACAGTGGTTTGACTTCCTGTCAGCTGGGAGCGCGGCTGCGCATTTCTACCCTTGAAGCCAGGAGCGAAGAGACATAATTTTGTGACATTCTGTAGTTTTTCAATCATTTCTGGAGTCGTGGCGAATCAAATCACCTTACCGGTCTGCCCCTGATAGGCGAAGAAAGCGCTCGGATTCATGCTCGGGTCTTCCTACGTGCTTCAAGAGTGAAGTAAACAATGATGGAGGCAGACAGCAGCTTTGGAGGAGAAACATCTAGCAGTGTGAACAACCTCTTCAAAAGAGCCCTAAAGACCTACCTTTTTAATAAAGCCTTTGGTTAGTTTTCCTCAATGCTTTATGCTTTTACTACCTTGCCTCTTACTTTGCAACTCTATATCTTTTATTTTTTTTAATTCTTTTTTTATGCCAATCTGTGACTGTCATTCTATTGCTTTTTTATTGTTGCTGCTGTTTTTTTACTGTGTACTGTAGCACTTTGAGATTTTTTGTAAATGTAAATTGAATTACAAATTAAATTTATTGTTATTATTATTATTATTATTATGGAGTGCTTTGGCTCACACTATCAGCGTTTTCTGTGAGTGTTGCATAACTTTGGGTGAGCACAGACATGAACGCACTTCGGCCACGTATTTATTTATTCATTTTTCTAGTTTTAAGTGCTGGTCTTGTACTGGTACTGTACTAGTGCAGCTGTATACACTTAAATTTTTCATAGAACTGAAAGCATACCATAGCTATATCGTGATATATATCGTTATCGTGATATAAAATGATCCATATCGTGATATACATTTTTTTCCATATCGCCCAGCACTACTGCACAGTGTTAAAAGATCATATTAAATGACTGTCACTGAGCTGCACAGCTGTGAAATGTCTGTTAATGTCTTTTTGGATTTACAAACTCATTGTCAAAGTTAGGACACAGTCCAGTTTCCTGTTCCCAGAGGTGAGACAAAACACACAAAACGTTTGGTAGACTCCAAAATTAGTTTTTCTCTCTTTAAGACATACTGGAGGAGTCTCTCTACAGCCGTATCTAGTACTGTCCTAGTCTCATGTGAGTCCTTCTCTGTCCCGGTCTTTTTGGTCCAGGAGTGCTTCCTGCAGGCGGTAGACCAGTCATCCTTACTGTGTCCACTCTGCAGGAGGAGGATTGCCGTGTGGTGTCGACAGAACAGCAGGAACAACACTCTGATCAACCAGCAGCTATGGACCCGCATCCAGGAGACCTTCCCCAAGCAGTGTGAGAGACGACTGAGGGGACAGGATGTCCAGGAGGACAACCCCCCAGGTACTTCTTATATACACGACACCAAGACAGGCATCTTAGTTTCCTGGGGCCTTATTTATCAATCGTGCGTAGAAAAGGTTCTATATTCTTGCGTAGGAATGAAATTTAGAATGTGCGTAAGTACAAAAAAATCCATATTTATCAAACGTGCGGACACCGGTCGTACGCACACATGTAAGTAATCGGTGATGATACATCCCACCTGTTCTTTACTACCGTGCTCGTGCATGGTTAGAGTCATTTGCATTCAGGAACGCCTCCAATTGACCATATATGGCATCAACAATCCCTTTAAAAATGCGTGTATGAATGTTTTTCCTCCTCCTGGACGTGCACACTCACAGCGCTGTTCTGCAGAATGAATGAGTCGTGCGTTCCTCCGGGCCACCAGGCAACAACCTTTAACAGAATCAAATGTGCATCGCAGATTATTTGTGCATCGATTGAATGAAATCTTTTCCTGTTGACGAATCTGAATTTATTGTGTGAAGGTGCTTTTATTGCGATGTGGGTGCAATCTATGGCTTCAATTGTGTTTGGGAATCCGGCGATGGCGTGAAATCCTCGTTTTATTTCGGCTTGTTGCTGATGTGTGTTTGGGAACTGGATGTAAATTGAGGCCGGAGAAATTATTACATCCAACTCTGCCGGCATGATTCTGTTTAGCGTTGGCTGCGAAATATCGCATATGTCTCAAATCTCATGCTGAAATGTTCGGGTTAGGGTGGACAGGAGCTGGATGTGCGCTGGGATGGCTTTGGTGCGTTTTGTTTCTCGCTCCGACACGGGTAGTAAATCACGGCGTAAATCCATTAAAATGTTTTGGGGAAGCGGTACCTGCTGAGAATCCACTCTGAGTTCTCACTGAACAGATCAGCACACTCTTTGAAAACGCGCTCCCAGCGGAGGAGCAGACGCTTCTCCAAGTCCTCCAATAGCGCAAAATAAACCGTGATACAAGAATTCTTGTGAGGTTGTCCTGTCACAGCAGATTTTTATAGCTTGTCTCACCAATCATTCAAAATGTCTGCTAAATTACTAATTGATAAATTTTGTATAGAGACAACGGGAACATGTGTGGAGTTTGAGATTGCGGAATGCTGTGACTCCTTTAATGGGTTCTATTTGTAGTTTTACTGTCCTACCACTAGGTTTTGTGTGTACGCATGGTCAGAGTTGTGCTTAAATTTACGCACGTTCCTAAGCACAAGTACAGGTTGATAAATTCCAGACTTTGCGCAGGAATGTTCGTACGCACTCTTTAAGCACACATCTGTGCGTACGCACGGTTGATAAATGAGGCCCCTGGTCTAGTGTGCTTGTACCTGTGGTTTTTACCTGCTGTGAAACTGACTCTATTGACCAGTCTAATCTGTCTACATTTGGTGTGTGTGTGTGTGCGTGCGTGTGTGCGTGCGTGCGTGCGCGCGTGCCTGCGGTGTGTCTAGTCTCTGTGTGTTTTCCCAGGGTCAGTGAGCCTGGAGCTCTGAGGCAGGAGTATGAGGAGCAGGTGACCAGAGTGAGTCTGTGCTCTTCATCTCATAGCACACAAATAATTAAGTGGAAATGCTGATTAGGCATTTCCACTTATTGTTATTCTCCCATTTCTTTATTATTATTATTCTGTACCTTTTTAAGGCATTTGTTTTTCAAATTCAATTATCCTTATTATCAGTTCTGTTAATTCACATCAATGATATACGTTTTTCACTTAGGCTATTAGATAATTTGTACACTAATCCAGCTAATTTACCTTCAGCTATACTACAATTCTTCCATTCATACAATTTCTTATTCTTCTACTCCACCTTTTCAACAGTTTTTCCATTCATACCTTCCTCAATTTTTTATTGTCAGTATAGCATTGCTTTTTCAGCACTTTTTCAGCACTCAGCATTTCCACGCATTTTCTGCAAGGAAATGCAATTTTTCTAGTTACTATTTTTCTTCCGCCGTTTTTTGGCCCATTATAACTCTTCTCCAGTTTGTGCTATTTCAACCATTCAAACTTTAAACTATTCCACTCCTTCAGGACATGTGCAGATGTATTTTTCTTTTTTCTACCCTTTAACCTTTTTGATTTTTTTTTTACTTTTTGTGCCAGAATTTTAACATGGGAGTCAATGGGGAAATCTTCCAATTCTTCCTTTTACTCTTCAACCTTCTAAGCCTTATAACTTCAGCATACTTTCACCTAGAGACCTCATTTTTGCTTTAAAACGTTAATTAACTTAACTATTAATGTTGTATTTTTTAATTTTGTAATTTTTTGATATCTTTTACAGTTTTCCCACAATTTAGCTTTAAGCAACTCATGGTTTTCAGCAAATTTCAGGCTTTATTATGGGTGTGTATTGGAAGAGCTAGAATGGGGTGAGGTCATAGCTAGAGTGGAGAGCTCCTCTTTTATCGACAAAACCTAGCTCGAATATATCGCTCCCAAGCCCACACATTTCACTCCACAGCCATGAAAAATACATCAAAATGGATGAAAATAAGTCCTGCTTCTCACAAAAGAGGTTTCAAATCATTAAATCGTACCCCTTGGCCAGCAGGGGACCAACTGTCCAAAAAGGCAGAGATTCCTCCCATTGACCATGATGCAATCTTTCTCTCAGAAAATCCTGATCATCACTCAGGCTCAACACCTGTTTAACTGGCCACATTTTTCAGAGTACAGACTTGAAAAACACACCATTGTGTTCATTAGGGCGGAGGATTTGTACAATGTTCTTATTTTCATTCTGGGATTTAAGGAAATGACGCTATGTGAAGAAGTTCAGAGGCCCTAAATTTACTGCAGTTAGGCAGCTTCTTATTCACAGAGTTGGTCAGTTGGTCCGTTGATCTCACAGCTGTCAAGACTGCAATCATTAACGAGACACACACACAGTCTGACAATGTGTGTGTGCGTGTGTGTCTCTGCCTATGACACCTGCATGTACACAGTAAATATGTGTGTGCTTGAGTTTCTCTCTGTCCGTAAGACCTACATGCACACACTTTGACCATGTATCTGCTTCACCACCTATCCTCTTCCACAAACTTTGAGCTACAGAAACCATTCAGAGCTCAAAAAATTCAGCTCATTGAGGACATTATGGGGTGTATCTTGGATTTTGTTAATTAATTGTATCAGTGTGTTCAGTTGAGTCTTGCGGTTCTCACAAATTCCTTATCATGAATATAGCTGTTACAGAGAAAGAGCATCAGGGCATAGTCTGGCATTTTGTTTCTCAGCTTCAAGCGTCCTTTCTCCCGCTGTAGTGATGCATCTACGGCCCCCATGGCATCCAATTAGTGCACCTGGAGACACACAGCTGACGGGAAAGCTGCTTCAAACAGCCATATGAGACACATGAAGCCAGGCTCACCACACAGAGCCCTGGGGGTTACATTTAAATCCCTTCACGTGAGCGCTTGACAAACCTTGGCCCCTATCTCCTCCCACAAACTTTGAACTACAGAAAGCATTCAGGGCTCAAAAAATTCAGCTCATTGAGGACGTTATGGGGTGTACTCAGGATTTTTATTCATTTAAATTTTCCCCACTTGAAAATAAATCCTGTTATTAATACATTATTCAATTCTACAGACAAATTAAACTCATTCAAACTGATTTAAACCTAATACTTCAAACTTGTCTAATACTTGAGGATTTTTAATTACTCAAATTTTTCCCATTTTAAAATCATTCTCATTATTTTGCATTTTTTGATTCTTCAAACAGATTCTCAGTTTTACTACTACAATTACTACTTATATCACTTTAACTTCTATATCACTTCTACCTCCACTACTCTTGCTTCTCTAAATATTTTTTTACTGCATCTCTTACTTTTACTGCCACTATTACTTCTACCACGAGCTTTACTACTTTGACTTCTACTTCTTCTATTCTAAAACTACTTCTACTGCTTACATGACTACTAATATCACTAATACAACTACCTATTATCATACTACTTCTGGTACTACAACTTAATCTTATGCCACTTCTCACTTTTCTGTGTTTTAAGGTAATTTTCTTCCTTATCCAATTTTTTTTTTTTTTGCAATTTCAGATAGTTTTTCTAGCCTTATTCAGCATGAATGCTATTTTAATTTATGAAGCACATTCATACTATTTGTACGTAAACAATTTTCACTTTCATCCAACTTCTACTTCTTCTTCAGCCCTTTAACCAATTTTACATTTATACCTTCCTCAATGTTTTAGCAGTTTTGTATTGCTCTCTCAGGTTTCAGCACTCAGCATTTCCATGCATTTTCTGCAAGGAAATGCCATTTTTCTAGTTATCGTAATAGTTATGGGTATTTAATGTCTAAAGATTATAGCATGCAAACAATAAACGATAACATTATTACAGTAGTAGGTAGGCCTATCATAATGACGATAATCATAGGGCCCTATGAAATCCGTATTCTTTTTTTCCATTTTAACTTTTTAGAATTCTGTTTTGGTTTTTTTTTACCTTTTACACTTATTTACTTCCATACAGTGTGTGCTTTTAGTGTCAGTGAATAAAATGCAAATATTCCTAAATTTATGGCTGTAATACATCATTGCCCAGTATTTTGAGACAAGACATAATGTTGTAACATAACAATGTACCAATAAGTGCTGTAAGTACAAAGTTTTAATTGTATGGTATTTAGGGCCCGAGCCTAGCTGCAAAGCAGCGGCGAGAGCCCTATTGTAATACTATCATTGCGTTTTACTTTGTACGTTTTCACCAAACTCATGCAACTTACTGAATGTTTTCATTTACTCACAGGTTGTTTTCATTTAATCAGAACAATATGAGGCCTAGCTTGATAAGCAGAAACCTGATGAGCCACAAGGCTCTCTTTGTTCTGTTGGACAGGTTTGCTGCAGTAGTAACATGCCTCAAGGTCAACACACACATATTTCACAGCACATTTTAGTAAGACCACGTGAACAGTAGTTGGTCTGTTCACATTGGAGTTAATTGGCCAGTGACACTCTGGTGCGTGTTAAATCCAACCTCTGTCCAGGGCAACCCCAGCCCAAGATGATAAATGTGACTTATATCCAGAAATAGGCACTTGTTGTGATGGAGATCCTAGCAGCTCTGTCATCCGAAGTTCAGCGCTGTACTACTTTTCATGTGACCTAAATAAATGTTCCTGCAATCTCCGCAAAATTCTTTAACAGTAGATTGTGTTTTTATTGGCCAGTTCTGCGATTCTATTAAAGCAGAAATCATAGGGCCCTGGTATTATTTTTATTAAAAAGATCAAATACAAAATTGTAATTAAATGAAAATGTTCAACAAAAACAATGATATAAGAAAATAAAAAATTATGCTCCTGTTTTGTTGATTTTAATGTTGATTATGTCATCATGTTTACACTCAGCTGACAGAGGAGCGGAGGGTTCTGGAGGAGGAGGAGAGGAGAGCTAGTGAGGAGCTGATCAAGACACTGCTGGCCAAGGAAGAGGAGGAGCTGCAAGAGGATACGAAGAGGAGAGAGGAGGATGAGAGGCTTGCCAGACTGCTCAGCAATCAGTGGGTCAGAGCCTGAGACTCCGCCCTCCATCACATGACTGAGGCTGTTTTCCAAACTGCCTATTATACTATTGACCAGTTGACCAATGCTTCCATATACTGGAAACCAGATGAATCAGGCCGAATAAATACTACATAGAAACAGCAAACTGGCAGTCATACTGCATACTACTGTCGACATTCTGCGTGAATCAGAAGTATGCAGTAGGCAGGTTTGAATACAGCCTATGACGATCACATGACTCTTAACTGTCACTGACAATTACACAATAGTCAAATAACTACGACTGTGAATGTCACATGACTCTCTGTCATGTCCTCTGTTCATCTCCAGAACTCTGCTGCTGTCTCTGAGAGAGATGTGGGTCCTGCTGACGTCTCCTCAGTCAATGCAAAAAAGGGGGTCTGCTCCGGCCAGATAGAGAGGTGAGCAAGATGTACGCTGCAAACAAGATACACAGCAGCAATAAAATACACACCTACAAACAAGATACACAGCTGCAAACAAGCTACAGAAGTTGAAACATGATAAACAACTGCAATAAGATACACATAAAACAAGAGACAGCTGCTAACAAGATACAGAACTTCAAACATGATACACAACTGCAGAAAAGATACACAGCTGTTTAAAATATGCAGCTGCAAACAAAATAAATCTGGTCCTCAATTGAGCCCAGGCTTCTGGTGTAAAGCTTCAGGTACAGTTCAGGATCTAAACTCTTTCTGCTGCACTCAGACGCTTTCTGTTCTCATTGCAGGTTTTTCTCTCGACCCTCTCAGGGCTCTTCAGACTACAGCTCCACAGCAAACAAGGTTTGTGGGACCACCATGAGACAGGAAGTGCTGAGCAGGACTAGATTTACTGTAACGTGTTTAAGTTGTTGAGCAAACCATAAAGTGGGTGTTTAGATTAAAAAGGTGATGTCATAAAAGGCAGAGAGAAGCTGACCACACAGGAAACAGCTCTAAAAACTACAATTACAGAGAACTACAAAAGCTCTGATGGCTGAAGACTCCGCCCTTAAACATAGAATGCTCCCTCATGCTAAGCTAATGCTAACAGCAGCAGATAGCACTGACTGTGATCTCGTTGCAGGAGAACATGGCGCTTTGTGAGCAGGTGAAGCCCCCCCCACCCAGTCTGAGCAGCTGGCTGACCACAGGGGGTGGAGCTTTATGTCCAAAGAGGAAGAGCGGGGAGATGGGGCCACCAGAAGAGCAGGAGGAGGGGGAAAGGGAGGTGATAACCACCAAACGAGTCTGCGTCTCCTCCTCCTCCTCCTCAGCGCTGCATACTCTGGCTGAGTGTGAGGCAGAGCTTCTGAGCAGACGGCAGCAGGAAGAAGAGGACCGGCGCCTTGCGATGCTCTTGCAGAAGGAGCTTAACCAGGAGGAGCGTCTGAGAGCCACTGACAGACGTAAAGGGACCTCAGATGCCTACCTGTTCCGCCACAGCAGACGGGACCGCTGCAACGAACAGGACCCCAGAAAGACCGGACACAGCTCCTCTTCATCGTCCTCCTCTTCATCCACTTTCTCTTCATCCTCCTCCTCTTCATCCTCTTCCTCTCTGTCATCCAGCAGAGGAAGCAAACAGAAAACTCTGACAGAGATGTTCTCCACTTTGAATAATTGACCTCTGATCATACCTTTGTGTTTTTTTCCTTCGTGAATGAGGTCATGAGACCTTGGATCTGTGGGGACCCGGCTGTTCCTGTAAGGAAGTGAGATCAGAGAAAAAGTTATGTTTGTTGGGGACTTATACTAACTGTAACCTTTTTAGATAATGTTACTAATGACATCACTGAGCACATTCTGTCAAATCAGAGCGGGATTTTACCACCCATTGTACCCACACTGAGGAAGACCACAGCAAACCTGTGTGTGTGTGTGTGTGTGTGTGTGTGTGTGTGTGTGTGTGTGTGTGTGTGTGTGTGTGTATGACAAAATCATTTGTCCCCACACACACACACAATGACATTTCATTTCACAGAAATAAACATGTTTACATGCTCAATGGCTCAGTTCTCTTTTAGGAACCCTAAGAACTCACCTGTTAACATCAGATTGAGGATAAAATGGTTGAAAAATTAGCAGCATGGCCTGTTCTGTCTCCCTGCTCTTCTACACCCTAGACTTTGACTTTGGTCTGTCTACTCTTTGTATTACTCTAACATGCAGACTAAGCTGTTTCTTAGTCTCATTTTGATATTATTTGTCATCAGCTAAGCCTGTTCACCTGGAGGATCAGCTAGGGTGACCAGATGTCCTGATTTGCAATGTTGGCATGTAGTTACTGTAAGACTGGTTTGTGCTCAAGTCCTCTTTTTTTCTGCGCAGCTCATTTTTTTAAAAGTTATTAGGGGGTTCATGTTTTCTATGATTGACACCTGACACTCGTACGAAGATTGCGTAGCTCATACACTGTTTGAACAGAATGTCATCACAGTGACTCTCCCGCCGAATATGTATAATGCTATTGTGCAGGGTTGCCTTGGACATTTTCACTTTATTTTCAAATTCGTATAAGGATGGAAGGCAGAGTCAAGTTGTACATAGTATCACAGGTAAAAGGTGGAGTAGAAATGAGCAGGCGTGAATGTAAAGCAGAGGCAGGCCATTAAAAAGTTGCAAGAAAATTATTTTCATTCCCATGTCAGGGCACTACTTTTCAAATTCATTTTTGTTTAGACTTTACCCTTACATACTTTGGGTCTAAAGTTCTCCACAATATATCCTGCAGTTTTTTTTGTCACAAGCCATATATCTATATTAATATAGATTTTAAAAAATGAAAATTCTTGGGGGCTAAATTCACTTGTTTTATTTATCAACATCCACTTTGTCAACACAGTCTCTCACAAATTGACATTTGTATATGTATGACAACATTTTAGACAAGTCTTAATGAATTCTTATCATGATATGTGAATTTAGACCATGAAATCTTGCATATTGGTGGAAAACCACTTCAACTCATTTCATATATTACCCATGGTGAATTTTGACACCCACACCCACACATCAGTGTAACAGCTTGTTTGTCATTTACAGTGTTTCAGTTGCAGGTTTTCTATTCTTTTAACAATATATGCTTTTGTCATTGTACAGTGCATTTTTAATAGATCTTGGTGACACAATTTGTAATGAACCTATTAGATGGCGAACAGTTAGACCAAAGCACAGAGACTTGGGTGTCTGTCTGCGGCCCTTTAAAGCAAGATACACTACATCTTGATGAGAGGATAACACTTTAAGACTCCACTTGACTTATCACGCGAGTGCGGGTTTCTTTGAAGTAACTATAATCCAAGCAATTAGATCATACAGTTCTAGTGGCACAACAGATTTTGGGTCAGTCACATTGAAGTCCTCAGATGTGGGTGGCCACGGGTATGTCATGCCAGTCACATAGGAGCCTCTTTCACATCAGCACTGCACAATAAAGTGTCCTTGTATCCTCATTAGTTTGACAAGCAGCATTTGTACTGCGTCTGTTTTGTCACGTTCTGCTTGGCTTACGTCTGTTGTTGACTCTGTGAATTCTGTAACTGCTGGCTAAGGTAGCCTGTATATGAGTTTATCTGCAGCAAATGTCAACAAAAACCAGCTCACACATGTTGCGCTTGCTTGGGGAGTGAAACGCTAGCTGAGGAAAATCAAGGGTCAGCCTCCTCTTCAATCCATCCATCCTGCAGCATATCAATACAATGATATTTGATTAGAGCATGAATAGATATATACTCACCAGTAAAAAACAATTTACCATCACAGACTTGTTTGGGGAAATAATTACCACCTTGACATCTCGATAAAAGTAGTTATCGTCATAACAGAGAGGCCAATACATTATGAGCTTGAAGACGCTCTCAACCAAGAGCGTTTTGGTTGAGCATGTGGCTCTCTGTATTGCTAACTGCGGTCGTTACTAAAGTTGGTATAACTGGAGAAGCAAGCGGTCGGCAACATTCATCTCTCGAGGGGGTGTCTAACTCGGTGTTACTGTGCGTTTGACCCATAGACTGTGTATAGAATGGACAGAGTCTGCCTCCTCTCTGGGTGAAGCCACTCAGAGAACAGCACCCTCTGTTGATGGGCTGCAGTATAAGTCATAAATCCCGCCTCTGCCAGCAAAGCTTATGGGGCTGTGGTCAAACTTTAGAAATTTATTACACAGAATCTAAATGTTTCTCCCCGCTGTTTGTGATGTTGACATGTAGTTATTGTATGACTAGTTTGTGCTCAAGTCCTCTTTTTTTCTGTGAAGCTCAGTTTTTAAAAGTTATTAGGGGGTTCGTGTTTTCTATGATTGACACTTGATACAGCCTATGGGCGTTCAGGGATTGCGTAGCTCACCCGGGGGATACGCTGTTTGAGCCAAGTGTCATCACAGCGACTCTCTGCGACTGCGCGGCCGATTGCGCACATCGCTACTGCGCAGCTCTGGTTTCAGGAAATGAAGAAAAATTCCGGAAATACCATGAGCTTTTTAGCTTCAAATCCGTATACAGGCGGTAGGCGGAACCAAGTTGTCCATAGTATATACAGTCTATGGCAGGGGTGTCAAAGTCAAATGGACGGAGGGCCAAATAAAAAATTTTGCTACAAGCCGAGGGCCGGACTGATCGAATGTTCATTGAAAATTTTTTAAATGACGCATATAGTCTAGTGAACCTAATTGAACCTACTGAAAACCTAACAAATATATTCCAATATGATCAGATAAATAAAGCAATATTTTCTTATGGCTCTGTCAGTAATCTTTAATTTTCAACAGACACAAAAGACAAATTTCCTTTATATAAAAATCCCCATAACATGAACATTAAATGAAAGAAACCGGTATTATTCAAGGCACCATCAGTAGCCTATATTTTCTATTTTAGCAAAAGTGGGCTAAATTTACTTCAAAGAAAATAATAATAATAGCAATTTTCTATCATCCACTCAACTGAAATATTTTAAAAATATAATTGGATTGAAATACAATAAAATAAAGTGCAAAAATCTATCAAAAACAACACTTTCTTCATGGAGAAGTAACATGCATTTTTGATGGGCATCTGAAAGTTAATTTTACTGTTATGCTGACGACTGCTGTGCTAATAAATATTGAGATGAAGCAGCCTACTGCTCGGTGCGTCACCGTTGCATTGTGGGAAATGTAGTATTGGTGCGTGTAAAAGATCTGCGGGCTGCCGGCTTGCTGCGGTCTGCGGGCCGGTTCTAATAATAAATCAAGATCATCCCAGGGGCCGTAAAAAACCTTCTCGCGGGCCGGATGTGGCCCGCGGGCCTTGACTCTGACATATGTGGTCTATGGTTTGACCCCAACTTAATTTTACATTGGAATATCCCTTTAAACAGCTGACATTATCATGTTGTTACCCCACAGCTTCCATGCATATGATTGCAAGCTGTCTTTTTTTTACTTTTTATATAAATTTAATTTCATGATGTGGATAAACTGTAGAGAAGCAGTTCTAACATAAACATATGCACCAGACGAAAGCCCTCTCCAAGCATGCACACAGATCACTTTTATTCTTGTCCTTTCTCAATACTGTGGATATGTTTGATTTTTTATAAATCAAATGTAATTAAAACTGTTTTTTAATTATATGACTCTTGAATCATCTGCCAACTTCTTTTAAAATGACCTTTACTCTAAGCAATAATGTTGTGTCTGGGCTGTCCTGGATGTGTAGATGCAGAAGGAGGCTTCGTGACACTGGCTTGCTTGTATAAGAGGAGTTTATTATAAAGACAACACCAGTATCACAACAGCACCGCGGATGCTGGGAGAGGACTGCCAATGGTGTCCAGCTCTCCCAACCAGAGTTTGTGACCCTGTTATATATGGTTAGGGATGTAGGTCCCCCTACATCCATTCTTCATCTCTAATCTAAATTCTTCATCTCTAATCTAATTTTAATCAACGTCTGGATTTTAGTAACCCAATATTGTGGCCTGTGACCTGTGAACTGCGAATATGCCCTGTCCAGGATATCCTGCCCCCGGAACCATTAAGGAGAATAATGATTAGCACAAGCCCATATTCCACAATTGGTCGCCTCCGGCTATCCTTGAAAAATTACCTCAAGGCAACGCATGTTGGTGTAGTACTCCAGATACCACATATTTCCCCCCTTCGAGACTCCATAGAGTCTCGAAAAAGGCGAAGAAATGTTACAATTTCAATTTATTACTAATTTTGGAGTGTGAGAGCGAAAACCTGTCCGGCAGCTATCTGTCCATAATTATTCATCAACCAATCTAGACAGGAAAAAATCACTCACGATCCCTCTGCCCTAGGCGACCACCTATTGTACTCCAAGCCAATTGAAAAGTAAGGGTTAGACTTTATGTGGAAACAATGTTTGGCGCAAATATTCTTGGGAATCTCAGAAATAAATTTAAAATTATCCACAGTCAAGCTGGTCGTCCCATCGAACCTTCCAGTGGATCTATCCCTGCATAACACCACTGATCCTAAAACGAGAAAACTAGAAACATTGTGTAACCAAGGACAACACTAATTAAAAGAGGGGGGACAGAAACCACCTTCAGAGTGGTTTTGAGATTGTACCTGAAACTATCTCAGTCCATTCTCCTCGAGTATATACCATTGTCTTT